CTGTTTGTGCCATCAAAATAGGACCTTTAACCTTCATGAATGCTGGGAGACACCAGAGTTTTCTGCAGTCAGTGACCTTAGTGTGAGTGGTGTGTCTGTTGACATCATGGCAGGTCTCATCCATGGATCCACCACACAATTATGTATGCAGGGTGTCTGGCTGGGGTATTTCTCAACATGGTTTTAAGGCCACTTTTGCTTACAGAAATGCGTGAATGTCTTAATCTTAAATGGACACGATTGCTATCTGATTGTGATGAAAACTGGAATGTGTCAAAATATTTGAGTAAAACTCACCAATATCATATTTTAAAAAAATTCATCCTTTGGTTGAATTTCTACTTGTAGACACACATCACAAAGCCAATAGGCACATTTTTTCAAATTGTAGATGCAAACATGCTTAAAATCATGCTTCTCAGATGGCACAAGTCAAGCTGAAGAACTATTCTGTAAAATATTCTATAAAATAGCCTGTTACAGAAAACTTCAACCATTGCAGGACTGTGATTCCATACGCTTGCTCCCATAGCATGAAACACTTTTGTAAAATAAATAACCCACTACACTTGACAGATTACCAACTATGCAAAAATTATACTTGGCATACTGTTTACAATGTAGTCCATAATTACTTCTCAACATAATACAGACAAAATCATGACACTTGCATCTGTTTCTTAGGCTGTAGCTAAATAGTGACTTATACTATTAATTTCTTAATAACTTATACTATTATTATTCTAACCATATAAAAAGAACAAATACTTGGCAATATGTGTTCTTACATACATACTTTGCCTCACAAACTCCCTCTTGCAGAATATTCTTACAGTAGGCTCTTGTAACATGGCATTTTCTTTTGTGTTATAGTAAAAGATTATAAAATGTAAGGAATTAGGTATGTTCTCTTACACACAGCAAATAAGTTACAATCACAGACTCACACAAAACAATAATAATTTTAAGCAATCAATTGCATGTTTGCAAAATTGAAGAAACTGTCGACCTGTTTTTGAGAAATTTTAGGATTCGTACTCACATACACTAGCCCAGTTGATCCTGTAGCTGTTGCTATACTAACAGCCACCTGTGAAGACAGAGAAACAAACTACGTGAACAATGGCGACAGCTTTAGGTCACTCTGATTTAAATTCCACGGTTACTTCTAAATTCCCTACAGGGCAGTCATTTCACAGTATCAGGAATTGCCTCTCAGTATTCATAAGCCGTGTTTTATCTCGGAATATGACGGTAGTGACGTACGCACAGGCATGATTTGAACCCACAATCCCAGTGTCCATTCAGTTTAAGTGCAGCCACTGACTTATGTTTGTTGCAAGGGAGGAGGGAAGCAACCTCTGTACCTTAAATAACTTTTGTAAAATAACACAAAAAGAAAAAAAATCAGTTCTTGGGCCTTAACACTGATAAATTCTAATTTAAAAGATCAAGCATAAAACTATAAACTGCATCAATTCATCCAATTTCAAAAGAAGACAGCAGAAATGGGAGATAATAATTCTGCTGTATATGTATTATATATTACTTACTTTCTGACATGAATGGATACAGTTGGGGCCACTGTAATGCAAACCGACCACCAGACCTCGTTGTACTGCTGCGTTGTAAGAGTCTGTTCGAAAGACGTGCTCGGCATCAACCCCCTGCATACGAGCCTCCTTGCTCAAAAGCAGAAGACAATACGGCTGAAACAAAATTGTGTTCTGGATAATAAAGTTGTCTTCTGGGTTGTAATGCCATGCAGACTTGTAGGAACTGCATTACACGATCCTTACATTTTCAATCTTGAGTGCATTAATAAAGGCCTTCGCTCGCTGCACTTGCTGGCCATCAGAAAAGAAAGCCACTAAGCACGATTCTCCACTAGGTGTTTTGTGCAGGCCCCACGTGTGAGGCACAACACTCCTCTCTGCCAGCAATGATGCACTCAATCTGAAAATAAACCACACACACACATTCAGTCAAGCCCATGGGAGCAAATAAGCACATGGCAGAGCAGATCAATCTGCAGACTGCTGCTGATCTTCAAAATATACTCGAAAGTACCACTGCAGAAGTCAGAAAGAAAAACCGCAGAAGCGAAGCAAAGAGTCTCCTTAATTTGTAATTATAAATTATCTTACACTAACTAACTAACTAACTAGATGGCTTACCGAACCCGAAGGTTCATCACCGAATTAACCAAAGCCCTCCATGGGACCCTGTCCTGGGCCAGCAAAATCCAATCTCCTTCGACTCCTATCTTCCATAGATCCTGCCTGAGATTATCCTCCCATCTACGTCTAGGTCTCCCCAGTGGTCTCTTCCCCCCAGGTTTCCCAACCAATACCCGGTGCACACCTCTTGTCCCATCCATGCACGCTACATGCCCTGCCCATCTAATTCTTCTCGACTTAATCACCCTGACAATACTGGGGGAGGAGTACAGATTTTTTAAGCTCATCATTATGCAGTTTTCTCCACGCCCCATCATCTTCCCGAAATCAGACGGGAAGACAAAATATTTTGAACTGAGAAGTAGCAAGCATTTCCAGAATTTAATCTCCTCCTAACTTCCTCATGAGTGTCATTTTGATTTGTTATTGTTGTTCCCAGATATTTGAACTTTGTAACCCTTTCAAAGGAATTATCTTACACAGTAATTATTAAAATATTAGTACTGTTTATACTGCAACAAGGAAACAAACATTCTCAAGTTCAGACACTTTAGCAGTAATTTCACCTACAAGAAGATTATAATATATGGTCCATTGTACTGTAATTGTTGATTCTTACACAGATACCTCTGTAATTCTTGTGAAGCAGGCAGGGAAACATAATCTTGTATTTTTATCGTATCTGGGAATAGACACCAGTTGTGTTCTCCCTCAATGGGAGTGAAATCATGGATGCTGCTCCAGTTATTGTTAAACACGCTTAATCCTGCTTGCTGAAAATGTTCTGCAACAGAAATGTAATCCAAAACATGCTGATAATGGTCTTCTGGGTTGACAGTGTGTAGTCCCGTAGGCGGTTACCAACGCTCGCAAGGAACGAATGGTCTCCATCTTCACCGCTCTACCACAAGGAGGTTTCAAAAGTGATTACAATTTCCATTAAATTTACTTTCTTTTATTGTATCTGCACTCAGCAACAAGAATTACCTTTATCCAACAGGTCACACAAAGTTAGGTACCTGCTTACCTGAAGACAAAGACAGAGCCTGTCATTGGGCATTGTTGAGCCCAGAAAATATTACTTAATTCACAGCATCTGCACACTCCAAACTCAAAACAGGCTATAAATATATAAGGGCAAACATAACACAAAAGGTTATCAAAGATACTGACTTCACAGAAGACTACAGATCAAAGCGCACCTACCGCACAGTTTCCTAGTTAGTATGTCATAGATGACACAAGTGTCTAAACCAAGCAAGAAAACAAGGAATTCACTGGCTGTCAATGGCTACCAAACTTCCCCTTACATTTTAATTGCCAGTCTCTTGTGATCTCAAAGTTGCGTAAAATTACAAAACCTTAATTGTATCAATAGATTTACCTTCCAACTCATTGTAAAACAACTGGTAGCAACCAAAGTGAATACTGCTAGAGGACTCTATTATTGGCTGAGTGGTGCAACATAAGAAGATATCCACCTTTCTGCAGTCTCGTGCCCTAAACTGTCCACATGCTACTACACACAAACATTCCTTGCAATCTCGCAGAAATATGCTGTAAAAGAAAACGGAGGAACACCTTATAACAGTGCATCATCATCTGAAAGCCGTAACTGACAACAGTACATCTCATAATTCACTTGAATGGAAAAAGGGCAAAAGCATAAACAACTGTCGACAAAGTACCTGCCCTTCACTGCTGCCAATATAATCTTACAGTTAATGCAATCATCAACTGTAACTGTATTTGCATGGTCAAATACAAATATACTAGTGTTTTTGCAGTTCTGAATGACAAACTGTTGGCCGTTTACTGCACCTGGCATTTTCAAAACTTCACCATCTTCAATGCTTTCTATGATGTAGTCTTTCAAATTCACAGTTTTCCTTTTATCCCTAGAAGACAAGGGAAACCATGCATCATTATAATAAGATTGTTCTCGTTCAGAATTTGCTTCTAAATGTGTAAACTCCAGAAATAAAATTTACAGTATGTAACCAGCAACAAAGCTTTTTTTCATGGAAGTTGGCAAAAATGTTAAAATATTGTTTTACATAAACATATTTGGGGTAGTGCTGCACCCACAACTTAAGACCAACAAGAAATAATGAATGCTCTTCACCAAATATTACTGAAACAAACAAATCAAACAGAATCAGATGGGCAGGCATGTAGCATGAAGGGGAGATAAAAAATACACTCAACATTTCTGTTGAAAGTCTAAAGAAAGAGATTGCATGGAAAATCTGTGCATAGGTAGGAGGATATTACAATGCTACTTTGGAATATTCAATTAGACGATGTCGAATGGATTCATCTGGCTCAGGATAGGAACCAGTGGAACAAGCATATGCATTAAATCAATATATCACCACCTTCCAGGCCATATGTTGAGCCCTTTGTAACCACTGTCATTTGACTACCCAGACATTATCCTCATACTAAGTTAAGTATGCTTTGTTTTAAAATTAGTTTCCTTTGCTTACTTTCATTCCATTATGTCACATGGAATAATATTCTGTGAAAGTTTAATAAAAAGAAGACAAAAATTTGTCAAAAGAAAAAATCTGAATAATGGCAGGCATTAAAAGGAGAATCTCTTGTAGCGCATTATTTAATAAGTTTAATATTCTCATCTAGCCAGTAAACTCTTATTTTCATTATCATCATTTACTGTGTACAACTGGGAAATTTTTCACACAAACTCAGATATGAAGAATATAACAATATAATATATAACCTTCACGTGCCAAATGCTAACCACAGCAAATTACATTACTCAATAATCTTTCTCCTACCATAAAAAAGTTTAAATGACAGAAAATTATTGAAGTCAGCACTAAAAAAGTATCTCTTATCTCACTCCTTCTACACAATATAAGAATTTACTTTAAACAATAATTCTTAGTTATTACAATTTCATATAGTGATTGTGATGATTCCTTGATATAACTACTTCACTGTAATATTGTATCTTTTACACACTTCTGTAAATAGCTCTTAAAGCTTTGAATTTATTCTATTGTGTTTGTATTGACATCCTATATCTAAATAGCTGTTAAAACTATGCATTTACTCTACTGAATTGTATATGTAAAATGACATATTCTATATCCTTCACTAAGGCCTATGAAGGATCTATGGAATGCAAATAAATTCTATTCCATAGCATAAATACAAGGCATAAGCATGATCTCCATTAGCCAAAGGGCTAACTGAATTAGTTATTATAAAGGCACTATTACGCAGTGAGCAGATTATTCAACTCTCTTCCATACTTCGTAAAAACTTATTTAAACCAGAAGTGAAACAGAAATGGACTATCTTATAACTCAACACTAATCTGCAGAATTTACAACTGAAAATTATTAAAAATTTATGTACGCAGATGTAATGAGCATGCAGCTATAATCGTGATTTATATTTCTTTATACTAAGTGCTCATATCCATACTATGACCTATCCCACGTCCTTAGCTTGTAGTACTATAATGGGCATATGAAACGCACATAAATTATAATTTTAATATATACATACACACACAAATGAACTACTTCCTCATTATGATAAATTTCCTTCAATCCCTTATTTATCCCATCTCTACTGATACAATTTCTTTTAACAACAAATCTGAATACATAATGTTTCACAACCAAACTAGCGGAAAACACACAAAGGATGACATAACCCAACAATCGTACTTACCATGAATATCCTTCTAATTTCACTTCTCCTTTCTTAGTAACATTCGAATTCTGTCTCCCTTTGTGAAAAAGGCATCCCATTTTTCGTTAGTAATACACGAGAAATTAAAGTCATACAGAAGATAAAACCGATGGCTTAACAATAAAGGACGAAGTAAAAGTTTTCACAGCGTATCCGTGCTATTTGTTACGAAAATCAGATCGGGCAATATATTTTGCTTTCACTACTCCAATTCTCCTGAATGATATATTGCTACCTGGACCATTAACTAATAAAAAAGTTACATTTTAATTCTGCACACCTCTAATTTAGTCGACTTTATATATAGACGATCACACAGTACCATGGATTGTTCATGTCATTAGCTCTTTGCTTTGGAACTGTGAGACGCGGAGCCTCACCAAAGGCCCACAATTTTCACAACTCATGACATTCTGAAAAAGTCGGGAGTCAAAGAGTCACTCGTACATATCTCGAAGACGAAACACCGTTGGCCTGGACACGTACTCAGGCGGAAGGACAAAACATGGAGCACGGCGGTAACGGAAAGGCACCCGCGTGACAAGAAACCTCTTGTTCGACCGCCCACTCGCTCTCCGCAATATACATGCTGAGACCCGCGCGCAAGCCGAGGAACTAACTTGATGGCTTACCGAACCCGAAGGTTCATCACCGAATTAACCAAAGCCCTCCACCGGACCCTGTCCTGGGCCAATAAAATCCAGTCTCCTTCATCTCCCAGATTCCGCCTGACATTATCGAGCATCTTAGGAACACAATAATGTCTGGTTTCTGTACTTTCTTGGTTGCAGTAGATGGCAGCAATGCAATTAATGTAGTATCCATGGACAATACAAGGCAACAACACTGACAAAAAACATTTCGCGCACTTGATGCTAAATTAAGGTAACCCAAATGTGATGTAGTGTGACCACTTTCCATGGTATATTAAATAAAGTCAACAACAACATAATTTTAACATTTAAAGTTGACAAGCTTTAAATAAAATTCCAGCAACCACTTTTCAAAACATCAAATACACAGATAAAAAACAAATGTGCTTTACCTTACTTCCATAAATATAAACCAAGATATTGATTAAAATAAATTATGGCCAAAGATTTAGTCACGAATATTTCAGTCCATGTCCATTTGGGAAAACTTTTTTCCCCACCACTATCAAATACAGACATCAGGCAGTGGAAAAGGTCTAATTACACAACATAAACACATGGTCTGTTTTCTACTTGGAATAAAAACAAAGAATACTGGGTAGAACTCATCCTTTTGCAGACTATTACTACATTATATAGCACCACAACCCAAAAGACCACATCAACAATTTCTTTTATGTGTATAATTATAGGCTTGGAAGCAAACAAATTAATGAAAACTACAACGCCCAGGCCAGAAACAAGCTGGCTACAGATTTCCTATATCTGCGTTATAGCTAAACTCAACTGTTCATTAAAAAACATTATTTACTATAACACATGCATACTTCACTTATTGTACACCAAAGCCTTTAATATCCAGATCTTTTGGTCCTTTGAGGTCTAATATTTTAACCTCAAAAAAAATATGCAAGTTAAAAACTTGCAGCTGATATGTTCTGAAACTGAATACATTCCACCACATTCAACATTAATACACTTCGTTGCTTTAAAAAGAGCCACTGATTATCTGCAACAGATGACACATTCTCATTTTGAAACAAATAAGGAACTATAAAAAATTACCTAATGACAACACAAAATTTAACAGTGGATTTATAATCACTATTTCACTGTCACAGTGAAGAAAGCAATCTCAGACATTGCCTGTCACAGTAATTCTAGTTAAATACAAATGTCTATAAATACAATCACAAGTAACAGCTGAAGTATACTCTTCACCTTACAGGAACACGTTCATGCATTTCTCTAATAAAATTATCTCTGCAATTAGACGTAACACTACTTGGCATCTGAGAGAGCTGCAACTCCAGGTAAAATCTTCCCTGTAACAAGAAGGCCACATAATTAAGACACTGTAAGACTCCCTCCCAGGATACCCACATTACAACACTGAAACCCTGGAAAACTTTAAGCACACGCAAGGCATTTTTATACTTTCTACAATTCATGAATGTGAAGAACAATTCAATTTTAACAGCAGCAATCACACTGCCAAGAGTCTGTTGGACAAATCTAACAATAATGATATTTTCCTTACTATGTAGTTCTGAAAAAGGGTTTAGTTATAATTTAGTCTTCCCTCTAGGCAAATGTATGGCCCCCTGCTTCATCTTACTGCAGTGTTTTATGACAGCATTCCTCTTTTTAATGTTACAGCCGTCTCACCTTCTAGCAACTCGAGGCTGGCACCTCCTCCTGTGCTCACATGGCTCACTTTGTCTTCAGTTCCCCACTTTGCACAGCAGGTGGCAGTGTCTCCACCACCAATGATGGTTACGCTTCCCTTAGCAGTAGCAGCAACTACATTATCCATCACTGACTTCGTCCCATTTGCAAAGTTGGCGAACTCAAAGACACCCATTGGTCTAAATTGAATACGTGAAAAGCATTTCTTTAGTAAGTCACTTGATTCACTAGCTCCTACTTGACAGAAACCATAATGGTAAACCAAAGCGTTATCATCTCATTAACTGAAAACAACAACATAATTAACTTCAATGAAATGTATAGGTTATCAAACAACACAAACTTCAAATGATACTAACTCCATGGAGTAGAGTCTCACTCAACGAGCTAACGACTGCCAGTTAGTCACTATGTAAAAACTGTCAAGTACTGCATGTACAATACATACCCATTCCAAACTATGACCTTTGCCCTTTGTACAGGTTCTCTGAAGAGGTCTCTGGTCTTTGGCCCAATGTCCAAACCCATCCAACCATCAGGTATGCCACCCTCCAAGGAACTAGTTCCAACAGCTGCATCTTCTGCAAATTTGTCAGCTGTTACAAAATCAACTGGAAGATGTATCTGCACATTATTTGTTTTTGCTTTGTCTATCAATTTTTGCACAATTTTAGCACCTTCTTCATCATACAGTGAATTCCCAATCTGAAAGAAACAAATTACATCAATTTTTACAGAATTGACAGCTATGACGAGTGTTTACGAATTCCAGAAGAAAGTAATAGAATTTATTTACATTCCATAGATCCTTCATAGGCCCAAACCAAGGAAGGAGGAACATGTCATAACACAAATACAATCTGCATAGTTAATGAGTGATTTACAGTCAACTACAGTATTATAGCAAAAATAATTACACCAGGAACCATCATCACCACTGGAATAGAAGTGAGACAGAAGAACTTTTAGCGCTGGTTCAAACTTCTTTAAATCATGATTTATTCTTTATAGTGGGAGGGGGAAAGATTATTTAATATGTTAATTCCAGGTTCGTGTTTGGCAAATGAAGGTTATATCTACGTCTTGAACTTGTATTGTTTATGTCCAACACCTCTATATCTCAATGGAAGGGCAAATTCTGTTTGTAAAACAGGTAACCATTTGTAAATGTTAAATGCTACATACATAAATAGTGACAATGATTACGTACAAACTGATACAGTGATAGCTACGTAATACATGGCACAGGGCATAGACAAAGAGTCACCTTCAAGATATTCCAATTCAAATTTCTTTCTATAACAAATATGAAAGGACTGTTACTTGCATATTTTGGAGTTACAAGCCAACTGTACCTTCAAACCCTTTAGGACCTTCAAGAAAGTATATGCCATTCCACCTCCAATGATCATTTCATTCACTTTATCCAGTAAATTTTCTATCAGCTGGATTTTATCTGCAACTTTGGCACCTCCTAAAATGGCTAAGAATGGTCTGAAACAAAGCACGTATACTCAGAACCCAGTTTTCTATACACAGTTTACAACCTGACACTTGGGGTTCTCATGGCAGTGTCATCTGGATTGTGCACCACGTGCTCATGTAGATGATCACAAACTTTTGGAGGAAAAAAAATACCTCCATCTTGAGCCTGTATGGAGGCATTCCTCTGAAATCCTGGTAATCACCTACAAGACCAAACAGTGTCAAAACCCAAAAGACCACAATTAACAAAGTTTATCACAGTATTTTTATTCCTTCCCCTTATCAATGTTCTTTCATGAAGTATGCAGAATAATTTCATATGACATGCAGCATCCTTTGGAATCTCATCTTTATCTAATGGCTCAGTCTACAGATTGATAAAAGGCTGGAATACAACAGAACGTTTATAGTAACATGTTTTTAACATATACAAGTACTGACTTGCTAATTACAACCTATGAACCATTTATAATGCAGCAAGTTTACCCTACATTGTGTTTCATTATACTGAGTGCAGCAAAGGGTTAATCAACCACAACCACTGGCAGAACTTTTATACATTCTGGTTTAGCTTGGCAAGTTGATTATAATATACCTTGCAAAGTGCCTGCAGCGTTACTGCATGGAAAATCAACAAATGCTTATGTGCTTGCAAGTGCTACGCACCATTCTTCTATCTTGCTTAATTACCGAGCCACAGAAACCATCTTTCTGCAACATATAACTCACCTATCAGGATTATCAAGGGCTTTAGCAAAGTATTCAAGTTCCTTCTTAAGAAGAAATCCCGATGCTCGTACACTAAAACCTTCACCCATCATAGAACTGTGAGGACGATGAGCTGTGCCAAAAGCATCATTCACATAATAATCTCCCAGCTTACGCAGAGACGCACGGAACTTTGTCACTGCTTCCGGTGATGCTTTTACCTACATGCAACACAAAGTAACACATCAAGGTGAGATCTCAAAAGTCAATGCAAAAGGGTTTAAAGGCAAGTCAGTATATGGGGCTACATGACTTGTATAAAATTACAAGTACGGCCCACACACCAACCCAGTGCAACAGTATACGTAAAGGTGCCTGAGTTATACTGAGATAAAAACTTAAATTTATTACACGAGGATTACATATCAAACATCAACACGTGCACACACACGCCGGGCAGTAAAGGGGCCTCTCACCAAGCTCCGGAAAGCAGATCCCTCTGAATAATTACATAAATGACTCAACCAAAGGAATCTTTAACCCAAAACTACAGGCCACAGAAGTCTGTGGACTTGGTTGGTCAGTCAGGGGGTGGATGGATAATTCATGACAGTCAGCACAGTAAATGAATCAAACAGAAACTTACATTTTGGTAAAGGCATTTTCTCCTACCAGATGTAATAGTTATACTGACATAACTTGCTTGTGAAAGAAATAAGGCAAACAGCGTGACTATGAGATAGAACCTGTGTTGCACATACTGCCCTTTATATACCTTTTGTTTCTTGAGCTGCTAAACTACATCAACTACACAGGTTACAATGACATTAATAAAAAATACAGGAACAAAAAAACAGATTAGCCAATGTAACAGCTGATATTTACAACAGTCCAAATTATGCAGACGCGCTTATTATTCGTCACATTTAGTTTGTATGTAAGTAAGACAGCTGGTGACAGGATTCAAGCAAACTATCTGTTACAACATTCAGCACCCTTTGCAGTTCATTACATACCTTGTTGCCCTTCTCATCAACGCCTTTCCCCTCTTCTTCGACGTAGAAACGCAGGTTCTCAAGAAGGATCACTGACCCTTCCTTTGGATCTGCACATGCCTGTTCCACTTCTGGTCCCACGCAATCGTTTAGGAATGTCACATCCCTAGCGACACAAGTCTGATGCACACTTGCAAATTCTATTTCTATAGCTTTATATCTATATTAACGAACTGGAAGGAATACTTCAGGATGGGAGAGTGAAGGACACAAGACATGCAAAACGTGGAAATATAAGAACAGAAAGGGACTGCAGAGTAGAGTCATTACAAAAATTCAAGACGGGATACCATCTTCAGACATATTAGTTAACACAGGCAAAGCCAAGAGGTAGGTTCAAGCCCATATTTCTATGATTTTTACCTCCACACATCAGGTTAAAAACTTCAGGGCCCTAACCAATTACAGCAAAGCAATTGCTTTCCAAACACTGTGAAGGATGCAATCAATACTGGTCAGAATTACATGCAGATAATGTAAAAACTTACACAAACACACAGTTCTGAGCAAGAACTCATGAAGGCTACTTTCTTCTGCACGCATTTCCAGTCTCATATTCTTAATGTTATATGCCCATGTTTTGTCAGCAGACTACAGGATAGAATAATTATATAAAGGCAGCTAATAAATCCTCTCAAATGAAAGAAGGGGAAAGGCAAGTTATGTTGTAATAAGGCATCTGCATTCCAAGTATAAATTCTAACTTCACTATTGAAAATACTTAAAAATGTAATTAAAACTGCATTTAGTGTAACAGAAGAACATCAAATATGATGATAACTTTTCTTGGATGTTGTGCACGTGAAAATGACTGTGATCTGGGTCCTTGCACCCTGATGATGGAAGTAACAAGTACTTCTCAAACGTCAGAAATACTTCTACCAGACTACGTAGAACATCCCAAATGACAGCCACTTTCCAGGTTAATGTACTTCAATCTGTAGTATGCAAAACTGTAATGCAAAAGCATGATGTCATATAGTTTCACAAAATATGAATTGCGATTATTAACAATCAAACCTGTCCAACAGCTTCTGCAGTTCAGCTGCTACTGGTTTTAAAGTGTATTTTAAATTCTTCTGCCCATCAGGACGTCCAAGGTGAGACACGAGAACAACGGATTTTGCTTCCTTCTCAAGAGCAAATTTAATGGTGTCGAGAGCAGCAACGATCCGCTGATTATTGGTGATCACACCTTCTTTTAAAGGAACATTAAAATCCACTCTGAAAATTATCGGAGATTAAAATAAGGCCGCATCGAAGTGTCACACAATATCACAGCACATACAAAAGTATCCGGAATACAAAATAAAAATGCAATTACTAACCTTATCAAAATCCGTTTCCCCGCAAGATTTAGGCTGTCAACTGCCAACTTGTTTAATGCCATTCTTAAATTATTAGAATACAATCTATTCCTACATCCACACCAATCATATACCCACAACAACAAGCCGTCCCGCAGAAGTCACCTTCAGCTTCGGAAGGTCATTCCAAAGTTGTAATATTTCATACAATGCATGTAAAATATAAATTTAACATGCGATAATATGAATTGTTTTCTAATACCGGATAGTCATACAGAAGACACCGTAGGATATTCATTATACAGATATTAAGTACTTGAGTTGATGCTACTTGTACAGCGAGTATCAGAACTACCACCACCGACAACTGAAATTCTTCGCTAATTGTGGTAGTAGCGCATTCTTCGTCGGAAATATACCCAACAGTACTTATTACACTGCGAACATACCCTGAAAAGACTAGAGAGGGCCAAGGCGAAGAAATATTGTTTCACTGACGATATCAAACTACCGGTGCCAGTAACTGGCATGTATGGGAAAAACAGTCGACATCATGTAATGTAAAACCAGAATAATGACAAATACCCGCAATGAACAACGATTTGCAAGTGTAACCGACGCCCGAATTCTACTAAATTTGGCTCGAGGTTTATGTATGCCATCGGAGTCACTCCAATGTCGTTCTTTTTGGAGTCATAACAATGCGTAATAACAACATGACGGACGCACGAAATCAGATGTGATAAGACGATGCAGGCCCAAATGCCACAGTTATTTTCACAGACTTTGCCATTTTAGTATCTTCAAACATCATTCGAGAGACGCTGTCGTAAAATATATAGTTATTTCTAACAATAAAACTATATAATACATGTAACACGTATTAAAAACAAACTGTATTTCGGAAATAGCTGCTGCCCTATGTACCTCAGGGGCAAGGTCTGTCTCGGGTACATGGAAGTAAATACCCCATAAAGTGGTGAATGGATGGGATAATAATAATAATGCCACTTATTTAAGTTTTCGAAGAGGTAAAAATATTTCCTCAAGTACGATTCGATCCTGTAACCACCTGCTCATGAGCTCAACACGGTTATAAACTTACGATTACACCAAGTACTGTAAAATTGGTTGATATTAACAACGTAAGATTGTAGGACTGGAAGTCTGTGCAATAAGAAAGCAGGCTTCATATGAGTTCGGTCCGGAACTCGTTCTGCATTTTGCTTGCAAGCAACGAGAATGGGTGATCTCCTCCCCAGGGATCCTACGGAAACCCTCTCCAAGGGCAACTACGGTTCAAAAACAAAATCGACTCATCTACCTTTTGCTGGTACGTATAATTAATTAACGCCGAATCCCACCTTCGTACGGCAGTCGTTAAGGCAGAGCGGCGTGTACGGGGCGTGGAGATGAAGCTCCACTCCACTCCACGCCACAGAGTCGTTTGAACACTTTCCGTAAATGTATGTTGTCGCTGAACAGAAATTTTCACTCGACGAGGAGCGACAGATCTGAAAGGACTGACGAGGGGAAAGGAAAGACAGCAGGGCCCACGTGAGGCGCCTTTGAACCACTCGAACAAAATTCGACAGCATCAGCGACACAAATTATAAAACGAATCAAACCTGCCCAGAAGTTTCTGGAGCTCAGCTGCGACTGGTTTCAACGTGTACTGCGGGTTCTTCTGCCCGCCAGGGCGACCCATGTGAGCCACGAGCACGACCGATTTCGCATCTTTGTCGAGGGCGTACTTTATGGTGTCGACAGACGCGCGGATGCGGTGATTGTTGGTGATGATCCCATCTTTCAGAGGAACATTAAAATCCACTCTGAAAATTGTCAGTCATGAAAATGTGGGCACATTCAAGTACAGTCCAGCATTCGTGCGTATGCAACATCGCTCAGAACAAACCTCATCAGAATCCGTTTGCGGGCAACATTTAAGCTGGCAACGACAAGCTTCTTGAACGACATATCTGAGCAAACTTACTTCACTTCGATTAATGAAAGGTCGATCACAAGATCGATATCTCACAATCACTTAGATTTTTCCTTAGCAGATGGCGAATTAGAAGATGCAGTGGAGAAGTGTATCTGCGACCACCGACAACGCGCATTTCCCTCAAAACAAGATTCCTGCCAAGTGCGAGGTCAAGGGTGAGGCTGCAGCTAAGGTCGGCGCAGTGATATCCATTTTTATTTATAGTTCATTTAACTATGCTTCCAGTATCTCGGGCCATAGACCGTCGAATGAGTGGAACGAAGTCGTACTACGGCCTGGAAGGACTGAGGAAAACAACGAAAAACCTCGGTCAGGATAGCCGGTCCCCGGTCCCGAAATTTGAACCCGGAACCTCCCGAATACGACGTTCGGATGTTGTGATATCCTGGGATCGAAGGCGAACAGCTGTAACGCCACGCACTGTTTCTCTGGTAGGTGTGACGTCGAAGCAACCAGCTTCACGCTTAGGCCGGCTTTTATCGGTCCCCACTGGACGAGCCGTACGGCAGTTGAAGAAACAAAGAAAGTAGAATGAAAATATGAAGTTCTCAGAAGAAGGATAATTCAGTATTGGCAGACACGCTAACCAGCGTGTATAATTGTCCCACCTTAAAAAAATCAGGTCGTCCAGTGGCCTCTGCGCGATTATTCAGACCACAACTTAAAAATGCCTCGATACAAATAGACAGAACGAGGATCAGCCTTCAACATAGGCTTCATAGTTGTTCACGTGGTGGGGGAAATTCTTACCACCACAGAAAAAAATCTATTCTGCCGGCCGTCTTATTATGGTGGGGGAAATTCTTACCACCACAGACAAAAATTTATTCTGCCGGCCGTCTTATTGAAAACTAACCCTGACAGCGTCTTACGTTCATAAGAAACCTCTCGTTGATTAACCATCTTTAAATAACCTAAGGTCTAATTAGAGTAGCATGAACCACCTGCAAGGTCCCTGACCTTTGTTTCAACTACAGGTCAAGTCGTCTGTGCGCATCCAAAATCCAACGGCGTTTGATAACCACGAAACACAGTTTGTTTTATTATGGCATCTGCGCAAATGTCTCGACGTGGCTTACGAAGTCTACTGACAAGACATCGCAGTCAGAGGACCGGTTTACCAACTTTATTCGTGTAATTCAGAACACTTGATGCCCTACTCCCTCGTCATTATTCCAACAGCAGACGCAAAACGTATCTTCGGTCTGCCTTCCTCATGCCACGACGTCCCCCGAGAAGGCGCGTGTGATTTTCGTACAGAAAATTCTTCTTCCAGTTTCCTTGTCCCGTACTGCGACCTCACCAATTCTGCTCGAGGCATCGCCGTCTCTGGTTCACGCTCCCTTCTTCAAGTTCTGTTCTCCACCGGAATAACTTAGACCCGGGGTCTTTACGTTCAAATTCCGACAGCAAAGACTTCCAAATTCAATATAGTCTGAGGAGAGCTTCCTGGTGACGTGTGTCAAGCAATTCACGTCTTGCTTAATCTCGTCATCATCTTCATCTGGCTGGACACATCTCGATTTAAGGGTAGAAGGAGAAACAGTACTGAGAAGTCCCACGTTCCTGATACATACAAATGAGCTGTTTAAGCCTAGGCATGAGTTACGATGTTACTGGAGCAACTGAAACAGAATTCAGAATCCAACGAACTCCAGAACAGGCAACGGGAAGACGGGAAAGGCGAACAGTTCTCAGTCTCGCCACGTCAAACGCGTCTCTGAAAGGTTGATCAATTCTGAGAACAGATAGCGACCGATAGCCGTATCTCTGTAACTGATACGATGGGATTTAGTTGCAATCGACTTTTATCATCTGCTCGCGGAATCAGTGATGGAGGATCAGTTCGCAATTTCCGTGGTCCCTTGTTTTCTGGAAGCCACAGAATGGTTCTGGGGCGCGGTGCTAATATTGCTGCTCAAAATCGGCTGTGTAGAATCAAACCCCGGACCACGTACTAACGAGGTAATTGCAAACCCAAATTGGACTCGTGTGTGCGACGCCAAATTCCAATGGCGTCGGGTACATGTACCTCGCTATCATGCGTGCAGATATCGCAGGGTTCGTTCCTGAGAAGACAACTGAACACTGAATTTCAATTTCATATTGCAGGCACGTCGAACACAGCCTAGGACACACTACGGCAGCATGGAGAGCAGGTGAGCTTTAATCTAAAATATTAGAACTACAAGATACCTCAAAGCGTACACGCATTCAAAAACCCGTGATGACTATAGAATTATAAATTCATTCGCTGTTAAATTAACGGCATGTAAGTACCCCTTGAATTTGAACTTAATCGAACTTCAAAGCATTCAGTGCCATGACGCAATCACATCTAATACGGAACTCTGTGCATGAATCTAGAACAGTCTAAAGTTCGAAATATATCTCGCCGACGTGTTCCCCTCTGTGAGCGCAAGCAAGCGTCAATGTTTTCTGACGCAAAATAAAATTTTAAAAGGCTGGCTTTGGTGCCGAATTATGGTGGACAAAAACGAATCTCAAAGTCACACGGAAAGAGTCGATTTCAGACAAAATCTCACTTGGAAAGAATCAGCAGGTTCGGACCCCGCGCGTGGTTCGACATTGCAAGGGCGCAAAATCTCCAAAATGCGTTCACTTTAAGCTTTGTTACAGGCACGGCAGGCAGTGGGCCCAGCACCAAGCGGTCGCAGCCCCATCAGGTAAGTGTGGTCGCTGTTAACTAGTGTTTTCGTGTTCCGGGCCACGGGTTAAGACCACGTTGAGGGCAATGTCTGAATGTCCAACAGTGTGCTGGCCGTTCATGTGGTGGTGTCGCAATGAGCCGCTACCAGACGAGGACGGATTTGTGAAACGCAGACCCGAGTCTGAGGACGACGACGACGACGACGAGCTCCTGGACGGACAGGAAGTGGAGCCGGTAAGTCGCGAGATCAGCAAATTGCATTGCATCAGAGACCGAAAGTTAAAGTTTGTGTTCGTCTGCACTTTCAAACAGGCAGATAAGTTTGTGCCCAGGTTCAGGAAAGATACTTGGCGCCGTCGCTTCAAATACTGTCAAAGAATTCTTTCTTCAACTGCAGCGCGTAAAGCTTCGTTGCTATGACAACGATAGGCTTGATATCCCGAACACTGGAGCGGAAATGCCTTGGCATTTGATACCCTAGCAGTCATCTCGCTCTAAAGTTGAGATGTGCCATTAAATTCCCCCAGGAACAAGCCTGTAAGGAGTAACTTATTTTCCAGCTACCCTCACACTACCGAGAAAGCGAGGTGCAGCTTGAGAACGAGCTTCTGAAACAACAGGTTAAGCTTCTGAAGAGTGAGTTGGAACGCAACGGAGCGACTCTGGAGGAATCCCGGGCACTTCACAAGGAACTACAAGCAAAGATAGACGAAGCAGAACACAAGAAGGGGCAAAACTGCGCGCAGGAGACACTTGACAGGCTCAACAAAGAGTTTCAGCGACGCGGACAACTGGAACGAGAGCTAGAAAAAGAGGTTGAAGAACGAAAACAAGTGACTGCAACTCTCCAGGAGGAGATTCTGGAGCGACAAAGAGTGGAGCAGGACATGAGAATTCTGGCCCTGAACACAGAGGCTGAAAGAAGGGAACAGGAGATTCTGAGGCGGCAGCTGCAAGTCGCCATCGCCCTGGAAGTTCAGAAGCGCCAGGAACTGTCAGAAGAACTGGAACACGAGAAAACGCAAAGACACGAGCTCGAGATGCATTTGCAGGAGCTAGAGGCGGAGTTCAAGCAGGCGGACCTGAAGAGCGAGATGCTGCAGCAAGAACTCCGAGAGCAGCTGCGGGAGATGCAACGCGTCATGAGCATCCACGAGACGGACAGCAGCGAAATTCCTTCTGGCGACAGCGACGATGAGGGGTCACGTGACAACGAAACCAACAACGGCATCATCAATGACGACGAAAGGGAGGAAGTTCGTCGGCTTCTTCTGGAGGAATTTCAACGTCTGCAGTCCCGACAGCATCCGGACCAACCATCAGAAAATACAAATGCTGTAAGTATAATTCAAAATATTTCCACGCGGACGACCATTAAGGCCCCGAGAATTTACAACACGTCACATACCAAATTAAAGTATTACGTGTGCGATATATGCATGCTTCTACTGCACGCTTACCCAAACCCCTCGTAACAAATTTTAAAGTTTCAAAAATCTGTACCAAACAAAAACAAAATTGTCCGCTCTATTATTCTGACTTAAAATGTTCTGGATCGCCGGAACTCCGGGTGTGTCCGGTTATTTCTAACTGCGTGATTTTCCTCACACAATTATTCTTAAAGCATTTGAATTCGTGAGCATTAACGAGATAAAAGTTTATATTCAGTGAGTCGAATGCAGATGCTAATGACGATTTAGAACTCGCATCACGAAGCTAGGAATTCTAAAAATACCAACTCCATGGCGCAGTCCCCTTTGTGAAACTAACAGTAGCTTAGCTAGTAAAGAAAATGTATTATATCTGTGGAAGCCCAAGGTCCATTGCTGTGCTCAAAAGACCGTGTTACCGGAACCTTTCCCGAGGCAGACGAACTCAGTTCACGTCCTTACGCCATAGTTCTACAAGAAAAGTTTTGATATGACAAAATCATGCATTTTTATTCTCTCCATGCTTAAAACTTGTCAAACCGAACGTCGCGGCCGAGTGGTCGGTCAAAACTGCTGCTTCGCATTCGGGGGGGCTTAGCAACAAAAGTGTATGAGCATTAAATATCTATATGAACAGGAATAACCATTAATGTTGTGTGGCTTTCAGCTTGCACTCGCCCCTCCGAATACAACTGAAGCAAATGACTCCAAAATGGGCCCTCAATCCCAACATTCTGGTCTCACGCGCACAAATTCTGAGCAAGAGCCGGACCTCGAAGCCGACGCAACTGAGGAGGACACAGCAGAAGGCGTTCGGATGCCAGCGTATGGAGACTGGCTCACACGACAGTGGAATATCCCGGGCACATGCAGCACTGCCGATTCCGAAGGTTGCACGTCGCGAAAACGCGATTACTCGGACATTCTTGGCGAAAAAGTTAATTTTCAGGGCCAAGATGTCACCGTGTCCTCGTTACTTGGAGAAGCCATTCAGCCAGAAACAGAACCTCTTCTAAAAGCATTTCGCGAGGCCCTAAGTACGGGAAAGAGACCCATTATTGGAGGTGGGTGTGCTTCTGATGCGGGGTACTACGCCCCTCGCACACTACAAAGGAAGACCTACGTCCGCGGGGACATTTTCAGACACAGAACGAGCAAGCTCTCAACGGCGATTGCAGTCAGTGGGATGACGAGGCAGCAACTTCAAGAAGCAGTCACACCAGGTGAGAGCATACGCCAGTTCGACGAGGGCTCGGGGGTTGAGACTGCAGGTCCGAGGTTCATTTTACTCGACAAATTGACAGCGGCGCATAATTACAGCGATCTCTGCAAAAGAGCGGGCAACTTTAAAGCAATCCACTGGCTTTCGAATGAACCTGGTGGATTAGAATGGAAGAAATCTTCAGGCAGCATCGAAGTAATACAGCAATACATAGATCCAGAGAAGAGCAAGGAATTTGAGTCAGTCACAGACATGGAAGGTGAGGCGGTCGTCCTGACTGGTAACGATGGCGAAGGAAAATCTACGTATCTGACGAATTTGCGAACAGAAATGAACAGAAGTTCCCCTGCCACATGGGTCATCAGACTAAACTTGCACCAGCATGAAAGTGACACGGACAAATGCGATTTAACAGAGGCTCGTGCGACTGAATTGCTATCGTCGGCTGCTGGGTTAGAAACGCCACTGGAGAGAGCGTTGCTCAAGTACAGCCTGAAGACAACCAAGAATGTGGCAGTGCTTGTGGACGCGATGGGATTCCGCCGTAGGGATGACGACCTTGAATTGCTAAGGGTTCTGAAGGACATGAAGATGAAGAACTTGGTGATCGCGGCCCATCCACGTATAACCACTCTGATCGAAGATGCTCTTTCTGTGCTGGCCTTCACTTTAAAACCGCTGGCCAGAGACGAGTTGCAGGTCCTCATGACGAAATTCTGGGGAACAAATTCGAAGTCTACGGACGATACATTTTGCGTCGAATTTTCTACGGCGTTGCTAAATCTAATTGAAAAATCGTTTGTCATGGCGAAGTCACTCACACCGTTACATATCAAAATGGTAGCCCACGCTTTCGAAAAAGATTATGCGGCATCCTTAATGTCCAAAGTCATTGACTTGCCACAGTGCGTAGACATGACTGAAATATATGAGAAGTACGCGAGACGTGAACTCCAAAGGCCGACGAAGACTGGTGCCGGTTCCGACGAAGACTGGGCCACTTGTCTGAAGGACGTCACACATTCCGCAATGTTATCTGTGTTTCCTAAAGAAACTGTCAAACAATTCATTTCACGCGGAGGATCGGCAAGTGACGTCAGCGACCAGTTTGCGTTCCTCCACCGCAGTCTAAAAGACTACGTCGCAGCAAAATGGCTCGCAGAAAATTATCAGAGCCACAGATCGTTTATCCAAGATAAATATTTCGCGGCTGAGCTGCAATCAGTGTGGGCCATGTTCGACCGCATTCTCGCCACGCGGTGTGAACTGCACGCTTCAGTCTTGGCCAGAGACCCCCAGAGAGCGAAGGAATTGCTTTCCGGTGGATCTGATGCAAACGCGTTGGACAATGGCGGAAGAACTGCCCTGCACCTTGCGGCTATCCAAACAAAGTATCCCGCCGAGGGTGATCCTAAATGTGTCGAGATCGCATCGCTCCTAATCGATCACGGAGCAGATGTCTCGATTTCTGACACTGTACTGCAATGGACCGCGTTGCGTTATGCTGACAGGACAGGATCGTTGACCATGATAGACAGATTACTACGAGAAGGAGCAGAGAGCACTGACATGGAATGCACAGAACACAAACTTCTTACCCGCACTTCTTTGCAAGAGCTTGCAAGTAACGCCGCTTCGGACGGACTTGCACATCTGACGGCGTACATTCTGGGCACTGGCCTGGACGTCAACACGCCCCTTCATTCCAGGAAGTACTCCCACCAGCAGAACGGACTTGTACACATCGCATCTGAAAACGGCCACGCATCTCTGTTGGAGTTCCTCTTGGAAAGCAATGCCGACGTAAATCTGTGCAACTGGGACAGGAGTACGCCACTGCACTTGGCCTGCAGGCGAGGAAACAAAGACTGCGTTCTGATACTAGTGGACAGCCAGGCCAGTGTTAATCAGAGCAACAGGAACGGAGACACTCCTCTGCACGAAGCTGTCCGCTCGGGAC